TCTGGTTACACAGTACCTGCAGAGTGTTTATACATATGAAAATTAGCGACATCACCGCCGACAATCTACCTGCTCTTGCATCTCAGATCAACCTCACTACTTGTCCAGGCCACTGCTTTTGAATCAGGTCTACCTCACGGGATCTGACACAAATTATATCAACGGTGCACACAACTCCGATGAATCCGGTCGCAGACCTGTACAGGAACGGGGCGGTGCAGATCTCCTCAACGGAGGACAAGCGACAGTGCGGAGCCAGGGAGCCCATGTTCCGCTCCGTCATGATCGATCTCCGCTTCCTACCCACTTTCGAACCTATGCATCTCTGCAGGGTGCCAGTCTCACCGACTGCAATTATCCTCTGGATGATCTCTATATTTGGCCCAACTTCAACCCCCCATCTGGATGAATTTCGCTGGGGACGTCTCTTTCAGTGTGCAGCCGTACAACCTATCTGGTAATATCATTGGCGGCGACGGCGAGAGCAACACCAGCGGCTGGTACGGCTACCTGCTGAACGTTGAACTCCGACCTGAATCCCTATGGTGCACTGATCACTTTTGATTTTGGGCTCATCGAGGGGACTGTGAATATCGGTAACGGGTCTAATTGGTACGTAGGACTCCCAGGCAGACCCCTTGCCTTATTGCCTCGCCACTTGCATGGCTTGAAGGCCAAGACGAGGACGAGGAATGATAAATCCCTCGTCATCACCATTCCGGCTTTTGACAGGCAGTTAGAGTCTGGAGGCTACTGATTCTTCCGCCGGCCCAAGACACAAGGTGCATATATATAAGATCTGACAAATGTGGTGCTTCGTCTTCCTCCTCACCGCGTTGTGGTAGTCAGTTTTCGCACCACTCCGGCGCTTCGGATCCCGACGCTCGCCTTATATAGCAGGCGGGCGCTTGATGCCGCCCGTCACCGCCCGTCCTCTCACGTCTCTGTCCCCTCGGCAACCCGCACGTTGGGAAGTGAAGTCATGGCTTCAATGCAAGGAACCGAGATGCACGCCAGGTGCGGCTACCGACGCAAGCCGTGAGTTTCATTTCGGGAGGAGCACCGAAGACATCAGCTTCTCATTGGCTGCAGCACCAACATAAACTTTTCATCCGGCTGCGACATACGGATATTCCGCTTTGAGCTGCATCGGTTTGTTGTCCCACGCTCACGGAATGCCACCTATAGTATTCTTCCATGCATTTCATATTCCCATAAAGTTTAGTTCTCCCCTGCTTGGCATCCTCGTCTCGCTCTGACACATTGTGGCGGTGGCCGGTGCTGTGACCCCTAAAAGACTAGCCGCTGTCAATTGGCAGGGCAGTGTATAAGAGTCTCATTGACCGCAGCATCCGTTACTTGACATACTCTACTCACCTAGGTCTGTCATTCGCCCGACATGGACATGGGCTGCTGGGACGAGCTCTGCTTACTCTGCGGAGTCTGTTGCGGTCCTGCGTACCTCCAAGTTCTGTCCAGAAGGCACGTCGCGGAGGAAGCGGAGGCGATAGCATACGAGATCTCCTCCGGGAACGTCGAGCTCGTAGAGATCATCAAGGAAGCCCTTCTGTCGTCTGACGACGGCACACGACGACTCGGCACACGGCCCTGGCAGCCCAAAGGCCTGGCACGCAACGGGTACGCCGATGACTTCATTGCAGTAGGGTGTTTCGATGACGACAACACCGGCTTCGCGCCTATCCGCGACGGCAAGGCTCCTCGCGGAGAACACGTTGAGGTCAGGAAGGTCGACAGCATCCGCAGCGGACGCTTCACCGATATCATCGTGACCCGCGATGGGAAACGAGTCACCAAGTCATGGATACATCTCTCCAACTGCTCTGCTAGATTTCCTGAGAGCATCTCGAACATCTGGCTCCACTCGCGGTGCTACAGATATCTGGAGAATTGGCTCGACTGGGAGAATCTGCTGCCACCATCAGACGCCTCTTTTTCGGGGAGACCGCCGCTCTCCTTCGCTTCAGAGCTGTATGAGATAATCAACTCGCGGAAATTTCAACGTAGTGAGTAGTCCATGCCCCGTGCAGTTGCTGTTAGCTGATGGATCCGGACTTTGCACAGATGGATGCAGTGGCCTCGTGCCTGAGATAGATTATCAAGGCATCGAGGCGAGCCTGGACCAGTGGCAGGACTACTTCATGCCATGCAGACGTGGGACAAAACACTTAGCTCGGGCTATCGAAGCAGGCCTTCGCGGAGAGGAGCTGATTCCGGCAATTCTTCAGGACTGTCGCGCGTGGATGTTCATGCGCCCGGATATGTGAGATCTCACGGCCGTACATTCTATAATGGTCACTGAGCTCTTTTGCACGACAGATGGCCTACACCGTCGACGACCAAGCGATCCTTTGTATCCGGCGTGCGCCCAAGTCTGAACGGTGACTCCGTTCTCCCTGCCATTGCTACACTCCCCAACGAGCTGATCTTGCCAATCCTCCGCGAACTCCCGCTTCACTCCCTCCTCACCCTCTCAGCGACGTGTCGCAGCCTTCACGCTATGATCACAGAGGTAGCGTTCTTCGATCGCGTCCTCGTCGAGGCAATCTCGCACGGCAGTCTACGATGGATCCTTCCGATAGGGACCACACGCGGCGAGAAGCGGACCGCCTATAACACCTTGCGGTTCTGGCTGTCCAAAGAGCACAGGCCGGAGGCCGCCCCTCCACCACCCGCCGGTGAGGATGAAGACTTCGACAGTGATAACGACGGCAACAAGAACACCTCGTCGCCTGCTGGGAGCCCCGTCCTATCGATTCTGCCGATAATCACGTCTCCTCATCTCGACCGCATAGCCTTCGTCCGGGCGTGCTGGGCATCGGATTCAATGATGAACCGACGGAGGCTATGGGGACAGGTGAAACAATTTGAGTCACTCTGGGTAGATTATCGGAAGCACGGGTGGCAGGTAGATAGGTTCTACTCTCTCGACCAGCTCGTCGAGGAAGCATGACTTGTGTATCTGTAGACGTGGATGTGCCAGCCTATACGGATACGACAGTAATCTATATTCCATTTAATCTGAATGCCACTCCATATGTACGCATTCTGGATAGAGACGAGCATAGTCATGAGAGATAAGCAATATCAAAGTCAGTGGACGACGAACCTGAGTCTCAAGCTCGCGGGAACCATCCACCCAGTGTGGTGTCGTCTTCATTCCAGAAGTCAAATTCGAGTATCGACGGGTCTCGTAGACCCGATAGCTTTGACACTATGAAGGCATCAAATGCAGCGCGGTGTTCGGAGAATTCGCCGAGCGTCGCGGAGGAGCGCCACAACCAGCGGACCTTGCGCAAGCGAGGCTTCTTGAGAAGCGTCGAGCGGAGCCAGAGAAATTCAGAAACCATGCTATAAAGACAGCACAGGGCCCGATTGACATTGAGATCGACCCAGCAGAAAAACGTGATCGACTCGAGGGCATCCGAGCATTCGTCGATGAGGCTTGGTGCAACCAAGAATTGATCTGCAGCGTATCGTATACCCTTCGTCAGCTCCAGTTGTGTGATGAAGCTCAGGTGCGTGAGAGACCGCGCTGCACCAATGTTGAGCTGGCGCCACATGGCGGGCTCAAAGCCCACGCCTAAAGCTCCATGTGAGCTGCAGCAAGCGTTTTATATGGTAAATTGCTCACATGTCATGCCTCCGGTTGGAAAGGCCAGGTCGACCGACAAGCTTCGAACGACGGCATTTGGATGGGACAAGAACGCTCCTGCTGCTGTAATGCACGCAGCATCGTTGCATTGTAGGCGAATGTCCGATAAAGTGTGAATGGACTTTGTACGTTGCATCAGGGCAAGGATTGCGGGGATGAATGAGCGTCGGCGGCTGACGAGCGTGAAACATGAGACCTGCAGATGCAAGGGAAAGGCTGGTTGATCAGCGGCTGGTATCGGAGATGAAGCAGCGCCAGCAGGATCCACAGAAACGCTGTCCCAGGTCAGGGAAGACAGATAGAGACTGTCGATACGATTGAAGATGGAGAGCAGCTGAAGCAGCGCTTGGGGTGTTTCCAATGGTACGTGTGCGTTGAGAATCCTCAGCTCCTTTAGCGAGACGGTCGCCGCGTCGAGCTGTTCTTGAGATGCGACGAATGTACCGTGTTCGACAGAGAGGTGTTCGAGGTTCGGGAGAAGGCTCAGCATGCGAAGAATGACCCCAACATAGAGGTTATCTCCCTGGTCTGAAGGCCCGCTGCCTACCAAACGTAGTTTTCGGATGTCTTTTGCAGAAGATGCCGAGGCGTCGGCATCTTCTCCGCCCTGGCCGACCGAGAGATAATTGAGGAAATCCACGGCGGAGGGGCCATCAAGCTTAATGGAACGAAAAAGACGTCTGCGAGAGCATTGGAGCCAGGCTCTGCAGACAAGCGATGCGTACGCCAAGGTCTCTCTGTCGTCCTCTACGAAGCTGATGATCTCGTCGGTGAGCTCTTGAGGTAGTCTGAGACCTACCATTGTGGTGGGAATCATCAGGCAATGTGAGCGTTTGATGAAAAGAAGTCACGGTATCTCACCGCTTACATAATCCTGCCTTATCTTGACCTCCGAGTCAACTGTGAGTACTTGAGTACTTACTGTACGTGTAGTAGCATGAAGTGCACGTCAACTGCTTAGAAGCATCGAGAAGCCCTCCGGGCAGACGATCTAGAACGTTGACGATAGGCACAGATGCCTGACTTTTACTTGGGACCTTCAGCCTCGAGGGAAAACGATCTGCATTGCAGCACCGCGAGCGCACACGAGTGCCGACAATGACCACACAAGTCAACGATAAGTGTCTGTGAATACCCCGAATCGTGCTCACGTCACGCCCGATGAGGGATTCAGGAAAGACGACGAGGTTTGGGTCATAGTTTATATTAGTAAAATGAACATTGAGCTCAGCAGTTCTTGACTTTTCGTGCCTCTTCATTGATGGGGGATGTCCATAAATGTATAGTACATAATTGATAAATGAGAAGACGATAGAGGACCATGACCGGTGGACTGTTCACCCTTATAACGTGCATCCTCAGTACTCAAGCCATCGAATGCATCGCAGAAGGATCATAATCGCAGTCATAATCACAATCATACACATCATCTGCCCTCGAAGATTCTCTCCTACGCTCCTTGGAAGGAGCCAAAGGTGATGGTGCGGTGGAGCTTGATGGTCTTGTCAAAGCTCGACTCTTCTTTGGCGTACCCTTTGGCGTATTCGACGGTTGAGCCGACAAGCCCAGACGGTCTACGACACTCTCCACATCACAGCGGTTGTAGTACTTCATGTGATATGGTCCTCCGTGAGGATTGGGGTGGATGCTAACAGGTTTGACTTCTTGCAGTTGTTCATTTGTCAACTGGAGGCGATTAGTGCATCCAGCTCGTTCCTATACACAAGCATGTAAGCACTCACCGAATATTTCGCCTTCGCCTTACTATGCATGATCTTAGGTCCCCTGGGCTCTGCCAGTTCTATGGCCGGAGCGGAGAGAGCTGCATCAGAAGAGCCAGCTTGCAGACGCTGCGCAAGGGCTTCGACGTCGCATAGGTTGTACTTAACCGTGGCGCTATTTCCGCCATGCGGGTTCCTGCCTTCTGATACCGGCAATATGCTGTCCAGATCTGCAGCGGAGAGCTTTGATGGAGTCAGGAGTACGTCAAAGTAGACTCACGAGAGAGATCCGCCGACCTTGAACTTCTTACTTGCCTGCGTTCTCAAAATCCATCGACCACTGGGTACCGCGAACACCCTTCGAGTATTCTTCTGGGTGGGAGCCATAGCTGCAGGTCTGTGAAACTTAGCAAGGATCCCGCTCCTGCTGAGTCTGGAAAAGAGAGAGAAAGTCAGGAGTCGCTAGACATTCCAATTACGAAAGGGTATGCAGAAATAATGATTTTTGATATCGATCGAGGCGTCAGACCAAGTTTGAACGTTCTCAAAGTCATAGCCATCACCACGCGGAGTTCAAACACGGAAGGAACTGGTCCTACAAGCAGAAAGTAGCTTTCGAGCTGGCAGTGCTGAGCAACATCATGGACAGTGATGCGCCTGTGATGCGAAGGATTCCTGATGCGCTCTGCGCCACAAGGCCAGATTCATTACACAATAACCCAAAAAGGGCTTATCTCGATAATTTCCTCGGAAAACTCGCGACACTTCTGATCGCTGGATAGCAATGACAGCCGCAGATGTGACTCTTCGTCTAAAGCATTCTCGACATCCTACTCATATGACTTTGACGTTGAGCAAGACTCACGGTCGGAGCCACCTCAGGCTTCCATAAGGCCCTGCCCTACGTGCGAATCTGGGGCTCGCGCTGCGGCAGCGGCAGATACTGAGTATGTCTACGAGAAGTAGGCCGGTGGTGCTTACGTTCCAAGTCGCTCCTGGCAAGTTGGGATGTATGTGTTTGCCAGAGCTGTGGTGGGCGCAGCTCGAGGATGTATACAATAGAAGCCCCAGCAGGCCATACACGAATACAAACCAACGCCGAGTCAGTCCCAAGCTCAATCCAAACGCTCATTGGGCAGCTATGCGATCCACGCCCTGCTTCACCTTGCCAATCAAGTTCTTCACACCGTCTCGGATGCCGTCCGTCTGCACACTGACGCCCTCGCCTGACGTGCGATATACACCTGTGCCCGTTCGACCCCCGAGGCTGACATTGACGCCCCCGAGATTCAGATTAAGCAAAGGCATATTTGATGGGGACTCTGGTGGCGGGTCAAAGACAGTCGAAGGCCAGTTCACAGCAGCAGAACGCATCATTTCCACGAAACTGCACCTCGCAGGATTCATTAGAACATAACCTTTCATATGACACCTAGGGAAGCTGACCTTGATGAATTATGCACTGCCGTTCCGCCGAGTAACAATCGCGTGCCGGCTGCATATGACCCACTCGAGGCAGACTCTTGATTAAGGAGTCCGACGGTCCGAGCTTCTTCATAGGTCGTCCCACCAATCATAAACACGATCACGTCCTGAGGTCTTTCCCAGCCTGTCAGTCTCGTGAAGCGAATGCCATCACACTGGCTTACCGTTGTAGACCGGCGTTTGGGCCAGCACCCTCGAGAAACGGGAAGCTGGTGTCGCGTAAGCGACCCTTTAGGAGACTTTCAAGTGTCTGAGCAAGATGAGGTGCGTGCTGCATATACACATTCTCAACGCCCTGTTCCACCGATCAGCCACTGTCGATGAATGATGGGCCAGAAGAACTGCTAACCTTCAACCCCTTTAATGCAGAACGACCCTTGGCGAGAAGGGACTCTGCCGAGAAAAGATCGTCTTGTCGTTGGTCGGAGCCTGCGATGTTTAGAAGCACGTAGACGAGCTGCAAGGCATATAAGGTAGGGTTCGCGGACATATCTACACGGTAATCACTCACTCGCGCATCTTCACGTTGTACGCCGTTCTCAAGTGCCAGATTAATGAGAGAAGCTACATTGCTGGCCTGTGACTTCTGGTACCGGAGGCCGTACAACATCACGAGCCTCAGCTTGTTCCAAGCTGGGACTGCCGCATTCATAATCAGTGTTTGCACACTCTGTTGGTCGGTCAGCCTCAGGTCCTGCACTGAAAAAAAACAATGCGCACCTTCAGGTCTGCGCCAGAACCAGTAGCCAACCCCTGCTCAACCTCACCAATCTCCAATAGCCGGTCACGTTCGACGATGCGGCTAAGTTCACCGACCATGGCAACATGCTTACTGACGTTCGCGCCAACACGACGGAACTCAGGATACTCCTCCACAAACCGCTTCATGTCGTTGATTGAATTTATTGATGACGCGCCCTGGGCAAGTGACCTCGACTGGTAGGACTGTACGTATTGCTTGAGCGTCGTGCCAAGGTCGCCGAAAGTTGCAAGGTGGTTCTCGAGAAAGAATGGATCGGTTGATGGTGTCAGCGTGACTTCCTATGAATAACGACAAAGGTACGTGCGTTAGTTCCTGGCAATAGAGTAGAAGTAACTGACCTTCAGCTCGGGTCGAATGTCTGGAACGAGGCTTAGGTCGACACGACCGTTCTGGATACCAAGCAGTTCATGTACCATGGCCTGGTACGTCCACTGGGAAAGCAGAGGCGTGACGGGGTCATTCCTTCTGTCGAGGATTAGCAAGAGCGGCGGCACTTGGGTCCCACGGAAGTCAAACAGTGACGATTCTGCCTGTATGCGGTGCTATACCGAGCACAGGTTAGTGGAGTGGCCGGACGCAAGAATCAGTGACCCATACTTGAACCTCCACGCCCAGCTTCTTGGCCATTGGACTTGACTTCTCGTATCGTATGACTGGCTTTTTCTTCAGACTCAGTAGAACAGCAAGGAGCCCTTGTACCGAGCGATCGAGTGCCTTCTGGTCCCATGAATTAGGAGAGGCCCCATACAAAGGCCTTGACGAGGTCGGAGTGTGATTTAGTGAGAAGAGCGACGGCAGTATCGGTGCGTAATCTGCAAAATATTCCTTGAGACATGGATCAGGCTATACAGCCGGAAGTGTCAGGCACTCGGACATACCTGCACTTCCCTCACAACCTCATATTCGTCTACGTCCGCAAGGCGCTCGATGGCGGTCTTGCTGAGGATGTTGCTGAAGTCTATAAGAGGGAGCGGCAGATTCAGACTTCAGTGTCACGTCTGCATGCAATGGCGGTACCCACTGACACAGGTAGTATTCGCCGTATTTCGGTTCCTTAAGTTCGCTCTCTAAGGCCTCTAGACTCTCCTCGCTCGGCTGCAAGAAACATACACACTTCATGTGTGCCATGCGATCGCGCTTCTTGTTGTCTATCCGGTCTGTCAGATAGACCTGGTGTGACAGCAGCGTGGATTGTGTAGACGCCAGCGAGACTATGGGGGTCTACCAATATAGTCGCGTTAAGTCTCGTAGTTTATAGGGAAGGGCGCAGTTACATACTGTATGCGTATCGAGCAGTAGTACCTTCATGGCGGTCGGCTCGGACATCATCTTGGTGATGTAGGTCTCGACAGCCTTTATGATATCCATGGTGTGGGGCAGACAACTCCTGGGTGGACAGCTGCGGTAGATGCCAAGTTTAGGGCGGCAATATGAACCGGGGGAGGCGAGAGGGCAAAGACAGTCGGACGGCGGTCGCAAGAAGGAGTAAGCTCAGCGTAGGCGCTTGACGCCCGCAGTGACTTCACCTCCGCCACCATCTACCGCTCTTCGTGTACCTCCACAAGGGCTCTGCCAATGGATTCTACGCATCAACCGGCATTCACCCCGGCTGAGCTTGAACAGTCCCTCAAGGAGCAGTCATACGGTCTGCAGAGCTTCAGATTCGTCAAGAAGTCGCCACTAGAGTCGACCGCTGAGGTCATCACGCTCGAGCGCGAAACGGCGACGATCACATTGACGCAACAAGGGTATCGAGTATGTATAATTTCGCATATGTCTTATTCCTACAAGATATAACCAGCTCACAGATACAGAAAGACGTGTCCGAGGGCGAAGGGCTGGTATACGAGACCGTTGAAGAGGCTCTCCAGGTGATAAGTCCGCTGTATCTGCAGGCGAAGCAGCGTCTCCTTGTGGAAAAGCTGTCTTCAATAGCCTTTCAGCCAACGGAGCTCAGGACCGAGTAGGCCCTCCTCACCTGCAAACCGCAGCGATCACCATGCTACATGTCCCCGCGCTTCTCGAAGGTGCCCGTCTCTCTCCTTCGCTCCAGGGCTCTCTCGTACATCTCCCTCGTAAAGACGAATTCCGCGTTGCCTCGTACTGCCGCGATCAATTGCCCTATCCACTCTCGCTCCTTCTCATCTCGAATGCAGTTTGCCCACCATTGGTCCATGCTGTTGACAATGGTGTACGCATTCAACTGTCCATGCTCACTCTGCTCGTTCAAGACGTGAAGAAGGAAGCCTGCGTTGAGATGTTCCAGGCCCATTTCGGAGAGACACTTCAGTATACGTGTGATACGTAGATTATTGTGGCTCATGCCTATGGTGGTCCGTCAGCTGGGCAAGCGGTGGAGCTGAGCTACTTACGAGCGAGGTTCCTGTACCTATCGCACCACTTCTGGGCTGGCCCAGCGCGTACCAAGAGACCGGTCTCTGTTGATTGCAAATGCATGCCGTAGAAGTCGAGCATAAGCTCATAAGAATTGACCACACGAGAGACGACATCTGGGTTGGCTTTCATGGCCGCGGCTTCGTGAACTTGCAATGGTTGAGCGTACCAGTTCACTCCCTGTTCGCGAATGGGGAATCTTAGATGCGAAAGCTTAGAGATATGGCGTAGCAGAGAGCAAGGAGGCTTACAGCCATTGTATGAAGCCGTGATTGCGTTCCAGAGTATGGTAGTCACCAGCCCACCTGGACAGGATCGTCGGACCCTTTCAGACAATCGAAGACAAGCATAATACTGACCTTGTGTGGATCTCATCCAACGTTAAGTTATCGGGCTCGCATCTAGCTCGCAGCGTGTAGAACTTGAGATTCGTGTTCAGAGAAGGGTCATCTCTCTCTCCAGGATAACCTCCAAGGAATACGCGTATGTCATTGGGAAGCGGGGGAGCCATCGTGAATCGTCTCGCTGGCGGGCTGACGGGCGACCTGAGCATGTTGTGCAGCGGCATGCTGGAGCGGGACCACCGCGGCATAGCAGAGAAAGATGTAAGGTATTCGCATTTCGAAGCTGATAGAGTGTGGGACTAGTTGGGACACCCATCGATCTTCACCTTCCTTTCGCACATCTCTCACATATAAATGCTAAAACAATTCCGCTAAATCACTCCAACATATGAACTTTCCGCCTGTGAAGCTACAAGGCGAACTGAAGCTGAGGAGAAGGGGAGTTGAGGAACAACTCTGAGCCGCGAAGCGGCCATCACTTGAGACACCGTGACGACCCGTGACACTATGTGACACAAGTGACATACACCAGAACTTGGCTGGCCCAGCAGTCACGCCGCAGCCAGGTTTGTCACGGCTCGGTCACACTCAAGCTGCGCAGTAGTAACGGTTGGGCGGAATCTAGCTCAACACTAATATTGGAGCATTATAGTGGACGCATATTTGGCACTAGAAGAGCACAGCAGTGGGTCCTATTCAATATCTCGAGCATTTGGGGCTTACCGTTCCACCGCGTTGAGCAATTTTCGAGGCTTTCTACTCTCCCCCAGCTACAATCACCGGAGGACTCCGGATTGTTGGTTGCGGTTAGATATAAACGTAGTATATACAGGAATAGTTGTTGTAGGCTCATGGGGCCAAGCGAGAGTAGAAAGTGGCGTGTCGATGCTGTCTTACTAGTGTGTAACAAATATCACAAAGCACTTCACTTATCGAGGTAACAACGCGTGACAGCTCAATTGTAAGCGTAGTTAACGCTCATCATAAGCGGAGCTCCAAAGCCCTATGAACTCTACCAGACGCGTCAATGAACGCGTCCCTCTAGCGCTCAAGCCTCTGTTCTCGACGTTGTTCGTGATGGCCCCCAAGGCCTCAATGAGCAAAACTTCACCGTCTGTTTTGATTGCAGACGCAATATCGTCTTTACAGAAAGCTGTAGGGAACGCTGTGAGCCTGCCTCTACTTGCAATTACTGAATAGCGTGCGAGCTTACAACCGTAGTTGGCCTGCGCTGAGGAGCAAGGAAAAGCAGACCTCACATGCGTGAACGCGGGGCTTGCGGCTCTCAGACATGAGAGAGACGAAGCGATAAAGCTCTTGAACGACAGCAAGCTTGAGTGCAAGGAATGGGAACGCCGGGGCGAGGGATGGAAGAGTTCGGTATGCCGAGAACGTTACGTATCGTTCAGCTTTCTGATTTTGGAAGCTTCGCAGATCGAGAGGTCAGAACTAACGGCAAGTGGGAAATTTTGTTAATGCTGAAGCTTGTACTAACGAGACAGGTATAGATCAAGCATCAAGTCGAGACCATCGCTCAACTGCGCGAAGAAACTTCTCAGTGGAAGAACCAGCTCTTGCGCTTCGAGGAATCCTCCCGCCAGGAGATACAAGATTGGAAAGAGCAGTACCTGAGGGCGGAGCAAGAGCGGTCCCGGCTATCTGCACGGTTAGATCAGCTCACCGCGGAGCAACTACAGGTCTGTCCATTTCTGTATCGCAGGGCATATCGAGCGACTGATATCAAGACCAGCGAAATCGCCCCCTCAATGGCCAGCACGATTCTGATGGACCGTCTTACACATATGGCTCTTCGGCCGCGCCGCCAAAGCCTCAAAAGACCGTCACAAAGCGACCAAGGGCTAGCACGTCAACTACCCTGGCACCTGAACAGAAATCGAAGCCAACCTCTGGCTACACGACTGACCGCGAGCGCACGTATGTTGACAACATGCTCAGACAGGGGACGCCGAAAGGTGCCAATAGGCTGTCTGTGCGAACGCCAAAGCACAAGGCCGAGCAACTGAGCCACGCTGCAGCGAATGTAACGCCCCGCGCCTCGACCACCCGTCTTGAGCCGTCGCCACCTTCGATGCCACAGTCAAGACTGATACGCCGCGTCCATGCGGTGGTAGAAGTACCTGTCAAGGAAGAAGAGTATAGTGGCGACGGAGCCCTTGACACGCAACCATACGAAGAGTCTAGCGGCTCCGGCTCGGAGTACGTCCCCGAGAAGCCTAAGCATACATCTGGTGGCAAGACACGGCGACGGCCCTCGACGTCGGCGAATGGCAAGCAGAAGGCGCAACAAGGGCGATACATAGAAATAGACGAGCCTAGCGAACGAGACGAGTCCGAGGACGACCAGTTGCTGATCGGCTCCGATGTCAGTACTGCATGCACCGAGCAGCTTCGATGATTCTCATTCATTTATCTAGGATGACGCTGATCGGACATATAGCCTTGTGAACGCTGCGAAGACCCTGTCAAAGCACACGTCAGTCGGTGGCGCACAGCTACCAAACAGCGCCAAGAGGCGGAAACTCAATCAAGGTGTTGTTATCGTAGCTAGCACACAAAATAAAGGCTCGCGGAGAGAGTAGAGTTCTCAAGCAGAGCTGAACTTTCGTAAAATTAGTTCCATGCTGTGAATTCTTACTATGGACCCTTACAGTCTCAAATGACATTCTATTTATTCCTGTAATCCATCCCACTCTCAACCCGCCGTCGTTTTCGAACTAGCAACCGCAGAGAGATCGAAAACGCCTAACCTTGCACGGCCGGACGCACAGCCAGCTTTCGCTAACCGATAGCAGTCCGTACACCCGTAGACTCATAAACACAGCGCAAGGAGTTTGACAGAGAAAATTATATTGAAGTCCATAGTATATGCACGATAACATGCTTATCTTGCAAGTGACCTCGCTATGGTACCCCCAACAACGGTCCTCAGAGAACAATGGCAAGGACGTTAATGAGAACTGAAATGTTAAGCTGGATGATGACGCTAACGCAGACGCCAATGAGGCCGTAGATGGCAACGCCCAGACCGACGTAGATGCCAGCGCAGACGTTGAGGATAGCGACAATAAGAGCACCAACAACCTCACTACAACCCCAGTCAGCAGATGAATTTCTATATAAAAGAGAAAGCTTACCCAAGGCCGCAGAGAAGGGGCATGATGCTAGCGGAGACTCCAACGCTAACGCACACTTTCAGGCAAGCACCGACGGAAACGAAGATGAACTGCAGCAGAGATTAGACCCAAAAAACGCGATAAAAAACAACTGGAATACTTACCACCAGCAGGTCAGCAACGATGGCAGCGAAAGCATTCACATCGATATCAGCACCGATGATAACATCGATCGGCTGGCCGGAGAGCGCCACAACTGCAGTGATAGCAACATTAACGTGCGCCTTGATGTCCGCAACAATGGGAGTAATGGCCGCCACTGTGCAGTTATCCGCGGTAATGGCAGCTGACGTAGGACAGTGAGCACAGCGTATGGTCTCTGCAAGTACAGTAACTTACCGATAGCCGCAACGCTGACGCTGATATCATCCTTCAGAGTAGCAATAATTGTGGGCAGGCTATCACAGCTGCAACGAGCGACAAGCCCAGTCTCGGTGACGGGAGCAGGAGCAGCAAGGGAGGAGATGGCGCCGAAGGCAAGGGCGGAGAGGACAGCGAGTGACTTGAAGAAGAGCATTTTGGTAAAGACCGTGGGGTGGAGCGAGTGGAAGGTGTTGCGAGAGCTGAAGAGTCTGGGAGACGTTGACGAGTTGTCAATGGGGTCCAGAGTTAGACGGCCAGTGTTTTTATAGCCCCAAAATGCCTACAAATACAACATTATTCACGTTGCCGTTGATAACTCGTGGCCAGTCGCCGTTAATCCAGACTTCACCTGGCGACAGCTGGCGTCGCGAGAAGCGTGAAGGGTCGGTGAAGGTCTGGAAAGCCGCAGCGCCTGTGCCGGCATGGAATTAGGCGGCTCCGATCATCTTGGGGACGGAGATATTGCTGCCCGCACATCATAGTCGTTCGCTGCGCCTCAACATTCAGCACGTTTCATTGAAGCATTAAGACGTCGGAAGACCGTACAGTACCACACTCATGCGTAGAAACAGCAGTTCCAGAGAGCGCGAATATGTGTGGGACCCGCGCCCCTCGAGTACACCGAACACTGGACCTTCCGAAAGCAGGGCTTCCCGGGGCTGGGGCAGAAGCGAGCTGTGATCTCCGTCGGCGCTTCTATCATTTGATGCAAGGCAAGCAGGCGAAACGGAGCCGACGTCTGGTCGTCCTCGGCAGTCGTACGAGCGGGAGTGGCTGTACGTGTAGACGACGCCGAGCAGACGTTTCAGGTAATGTTAATGGGGCTTGGCTGGAAACCTTAATCTTGGTTCACGTAATGGCAGTCCGATTCATGCGTCCTCTCGGTTACCGTCTTCTGGTCGTACCTTCGACGCGGATCAAGAGCTGCTGGCGCACACTGGCGCACGCCATTGCGCACTGCTGGTCTGGAGGACGTGCGTTGCTCGGCGGCCGAGATGTGATGTTGCACCTGACATCCCGAGACTACAGGGAGAGGTGTTATTGGGACGGGCCGAAAAAAAAAATCGTGTCCAGATGGCCCTGCAGACGCCCTTACCGAGCCACTGACAATCTCGGCATGACATGACCGTCATCCAGTCCGAACAACGGTTGGCAGGTGAATGGAGAGAAACGCTTCCAGAACAAGGCTAATGAAACTCTGAGTAACGTCTATCAAGTGAAATCAGTAATCGCTATCGTAGTTCCTACAAATCGCCTCCTGTCTAGCATCGTGCACGTTCACGGCGCGACACACCCAGCAGTACCTCTGCTTTACCAGTCTGCGTCCAGTTTTTGAGAAGCAGATGTCGGACAACACACGGGAGCACTTGTTGCACGTGAGACGCGATTCGAATAGCGACGGGACTGACGTGATTTCCAGAGGAAGGAGCGAGTGGCCGCCTCCTGCTCTGGGTAGGCCGTCCTTATTCAACGAGACGTAGCGAGCGCTCTGTTCGAGCAACTTGGCCTCGTCGACGTATCCCTTCGCGACGAAAGCGGTGTAGAGTTGCGCGATGAGTGTGATGTCCATGGCGGCGTACTCCGCACAACCCTGCGTGAGCGGGCGCCGATCCCACACACTGTGGTTGAAACTCTCTGCACATCGTGGTTGATCAGTGGTAGAACCTCTCAAGCGGGTCGTACTAGCGGACTTACTCAGTTTCGCATCTGCGGACACACCATGTTCGGCGAGACATCCCGAAAGGCCACTGAGACGATGTACAAGACGATACGAGTTGCGTTGACTCTGCACCTCGTTGCGATGGCAGTACGGGGAAAGCCTTGCGAGCTGCTCATCTTCACCTCCCCCGCGCACCGCGCGAGACTCCACGTCTGCCAGCTGAAGGTCGAGGACAGGAGCAAGCTCCACACCGCCATAGCGATGATAGAGCTCGCTCCAGTCCATCCGGCCGTCGAATACGATCTTCTTGTGTCCCGGCGAACGCAGCAGCTCGAAGACAGGCTGGAGACCGTCTTTTCCGAGCTTGATGGCGTCAAACAGGTATACTTGTATGCTGTCGGCCTCAGAGGCGGGGATGCCTCCAAGAGCGATAAGAGATAAACTGCCGCCCATTTCGCCGAGTGAAAGTCCTTCGCAGTCGCAGGCGATGCAGCTGTACGGCTGTAAAGCCTTGATGGCTTCGACCACTACAGCGGCATCGTCGCATACTGAGACACGCGGCCGAGTGGGGCAACTCGCGGAGGATGCGTCCATGGTCAACGACCTTCATGCGTGAGCTCCAGCAGCAGGTGTTCGTTGTAGTAAGAGCAAACATACCTTGGTTGAGTGTCCAGAAATATGATGCAGAGGTTGCGGGAGCCGTCAAGCTGGAGGAGATGCTGCCAATGATCCAGAGCTATATGTAGACTCACCGTAATATCCAACCAGCCTACTATCGAGAAGCTCCGTGCTTGGCGGACGAGAGCAGGCTCATGTCGAGCCAGAGGATGCACACATGATCCATAGCACAAGATACTGAACCTTATACAGCATTCAGGTGACGTGCGAGAGACCCATACGTAGGAGGCAGTGAACTGCGGGAGGCGCAGCTGTCCCACGTAAGTCAAGAAGGACGCTCGGTGAGGCACGAAGACCCGTGGGACGCATCCCTATTTAAGAATACCTCGACCTCCTGTAGAAACCGCGGCATTGGGGCAGATGGCATTCTGTTGGGGCAAGTTAGGGAGCACGTGTAGTCAGAGACACGAATAGCGGAACTAACTAACCCACCACTGGCAGGAAGCAGAGAACCCCGTGTTTAGTTACGAAGAGAAGCACGATGCCTATGTATGATCACCGGTAACACTAGCTTGGACGCAGTCCGCGAATCGAACCTCGCCAAACATAATGGGAAGCTGGATTCGTGCGGTCAAGAGCGCAGCTGAGGCTCAGATCTCCGTTGCTACCAAATCCGTCCGCAAGGTATCTTTGAGTGTGGTATCCTTAGCCGAGTTCTTTGTTGAAGGCGCTATAGCCAAGTGGTTAAGGCGATTGATTAGAAATCAATTCCCGTTTCGGGGCGCAGGTTCGAATCCTGCTGGCGTCGCTTAAATTTATTTTCGACTGTGGTATTTAAGCGCAGTTTTTTTCTTCGAGAAAACTCAGGCAAAAGTGGCTAAACAAGGCCCAGTTATTCCTTGATTTCACGCCGATGCAAACTGAGGAGAAACTGGTGCAAAACCAGCCCAAAAGGTAGTAAAACTGGCGGAAAACTGAGTTTTGCCTTCAGTTTTTTTCAAGTGAAAACCGGAGAAAGTTGGGGCCTTGTTGAATCAGTTTTTGGCTAATTCTACGCCGGAAAAAAGTGCGCTTACCACCCAGTGTATTCCCAAACCTTTGAATATATACAGTATATCGTGGCCTCGTCTTTCTGTTCCATTGTGCGAGAATGAGATTCAGAAAAGCTTCCCCAGTATGATTGCGAGCATACTGGATGCTACAGTAGCGATTTCTTGCGGATGACGGCGTTATAGCGGCTAATTGAGGTGGGACAGTCTGTATGAGCCTCTTGTGAGTGACCATATACTATTTTCTCTTTCAAGACGTCGTACCTGTAAAATGTCTGGGGAGAACACAGCTCTCGCTTCCATTTACTATGTGGGAAACCGGAAAGCTGGCGCCATCCAAGGCTTGCCACACTCAGTCGATCTGATGCAGAATGCATCTCGCGGTCGGGTCTCATTATACTTTCGGTCGTTTGCCATGACTATGCCTTGCGTACAAGAGACCCTACGGCTCACGAGAAGCACTACGGGAGATGAAAATGTCATTCTGGTTCGATGTCAAGGCGGTGGCGATCGATGTACGACATCGCTACTAGGCCCAGAGCAATGCAGCGCGTCCAAGACTGGTGGTGGACGTAGAGAGTACGAGGAAACGTAATGACTGTAGACATTAATCGAGTAGACTACAAACTATCCCAGACCGAGCACTAAATCGTACACCCTATCATAGCATTACATCTGGAGGTATCCCACAAGATCCCAAGGTAATGGAACAACGACATCGATGTCGTAAGCTTGCGTTCGAGTCTGTCATATAAACTACTTCGGGTCGTCTTCGTTAGACCCCGTGCGCTGTAGCTTCTCTGACGTGATCCAGACGATACTCCGCTGCTCCTTCGGTGGCGGCGCGTCTGCGCGGGTGCGGGTGAGGGATGGAAGCGCGACGTCCGTGACGTCGCCTCTCGTGCGCGTCTGCTCGATCTGCGAGAGCGTCGGGTTCGTGATGGCGGTGTTCGTCGTGAAATCGCGTAGGTTAACAGTCGTGACGTCCATCGCCGTGTCGGACGCTGTCGTCGCTGTGGTCCCCATCGTTCCTGTTCTGCGTGTCGCGGCCTTCCAGCCGAATGTGCTCTGCTTCGTGTAGTCCGTCTCCTCCTCGGGCTTGCCGGCCTTGCGCATGATCGCGGTCACCACGACGGGGAGGCTGCACACGATGAGTGAAAAAGTGTCCTGCACGCCGGATCAGCCGCGAAGACAGAAGAAGGATGCGCGTCAGCTTACCTCGACGATCGCGGCGATGACAACTTTGATGCCTGCGTCTTCGAAGATGAACGCCGCGTGCACCAGAGACACGATGCTGCAAAGATCTATCAGCACCATCTTTCGGGGTGATGAGGATATGCGCAGGGAAACGTACGTTGTCACGATGCTGGTCGAGAAGATGATCATGAGACGTCGGCGAGTACTGTCAACCGCGCTCATCTGTTGGATCAGGCGAAGTGGCGCAGCGATGAGCAAAAGGTCCGAGAAAACGTCGGCTGAACGGCGTGTAAGCTTCCATATCCCTCATAGAAAGCGTATCGGAGATAGTATACTCACTTACGAGCTGGCATATCGCCACTTGGTGGTCCAGTGGACACTGAGGGGACAACTCGTGTTTCCATTCCGGCATAGGCTCGCACACCTAAGAGGCGGTCAGACAGCACAGGAGACGATATAGCAGACAACTAACCCAGAATAGCTGCGCGATCATCACCATTAGGACGACGATGAAGATGATACCGATGCGGTGGAGGTACTGCGGGTGGTCAACGACCCTGCGCTAGCCGAAGAGGCAGAATATGCTCACCATTCTCGTTCTGGGATTGGGATCTATCCGGATTACTGAGTACAAGATTGCAAGTCTCGCAGTCCTGTTGACATGAATTCAGCTAAGCGGAAGCGCCGTCAGCCCTCCTAAGCGACTTACCATATTATGGAGTAGAATGTCGCCGCCATGATGTAATAGGCCGCGATGTTGTCTGTGTGGGTCAATACACCTACGATGTATGGCTCGTTAGAGGATGACAGTGAGGTCGAGCAATGTAGCTTACGTGGATCCGGAACGTGCATGAAGACCGATGCGACTTGGAGGAATAGGAAGATCATGGATAGGAAGGCGCCGGCATCATCCCACCAATACCGATCCCGACGCAACCAGAGACGGTAGCATGTGATGCCGGTGGCGAAGGCAGAACATATCGCAGAGGTGACTAGAAGATAGGAAGATGAGGATGGTGGCGTTCAGCCACCAAAGAGCACAATAGGCGCTGTGCTTACTCTTGAGCTGTATGAGAGATTGAACCATACCGTTGGGAGGACAAGCAGAGGGGCGCGGCAAGGAAATGGGACGGAGAGAAGGTGTGGGGGTATAAAGCCTCGTAAGGTGGGCCTTTTCTCAGCGGACATGATGATGATGATGTTGATACATCGAAGCCTTGTCTTGAGAATGAAGGGACACGAGGATGGGGCGTCCACAAGCAAGCTTCTTCCCATCCGGCCTGGACGGAAGGACAACGTGCAAACCTTGCAACATCCTATGGATTCCTGTACGAAAGCGCAGCCAAAACTCCTGCCGGAGCTAATCTATCTGTCAATCTTCCATCTGTTGTCTGTGTAAATATACTCGCTGGCCCTTTATCCCCGTCGATAGCGGAGCGCGGAAGTCGCAGGTCAGTTGAAAAGGCCCTCTAGAAGACTGTGCGGGACCTCTTGAGCCCAGCGTTGTCTAAGACGGCGACCGAGCCGGCCACGTACGCAGCTGCCATCGCCGCCACCTGTGAGCTGCCGATGAGGCCGTGGATCGAGCCTTGCGCTCGCCGCTGACGGCATCCCAAGAGCGCCCTCCGAGCGAGCCCAATGGAGCAGATCACTCAAATGCCCCACGAAGGCTCTGTTGCACATGCTCCTTGATCAGCCCTCGTCTTGAAGGTGCGCCCTCTCTCCATACATGCACAGCGTCAGCCACGACTGTCAGCGACGGGGAGACTCTGGAAATAGCTGCCAGGCACACACCACAATTCAGCAAGCTTGCAAGACAGCGACATGGCAAAGCAACAGATACCAACTGGCAGATGATCCACAATTCACTCAGAGACCGGCTGCACTGACCGGCCGACGCGACCCTTCGTTCCGTATGGATGTCGCACCTCCACACCGAATTTCTACCTCAGCCGGGGCGACGGATGTCCCGATTTTCCTTTCACTGCCAGCGCCGCCGGTCGGATGTCATGATCAGCACCAGTGGCCAGCGTTGGCCGCCCGTGATCGCAGTGGTCGGAGCATGTTGGGGAGCCGGAAGATGCTTGTGCCTCTCAGCCATCTCCTGCGTCTCACTCTCGCTCTCAGCCGACTCGCATGACATGTAAGAGATAGTGAACGGATGGGCTGTCACATCCGACACAACTCATCATTTACAATATGCCTGAGAGCCATCAAAACCCAGTGTTCTGTGTGCCTGTGAAGTGCCTGTGAAGTCTATTCCTATAAGTTCGGTCTGTCCGCATCGCCCCGCAGAAGGCCTGAGGCTGCGTATTGCCCTTCTCTGCCATCCATCCCCGACGCATCACCAGTGCAACATGTGGTTCAATGGCATCGCCATGTCACTCACCGCCGCCGTCGCCGCCGCGGTGGGCGCCCTAGCGTCCAATCCCGTCCTCACTGCCTCCAGCAATGGCACCTTCCTCGAGTTGACAGCCATCGTCACGCGCAACAATATCTCCGCGCTCGAGTGCTGGCGACTCACAGATCCCTTTGTGACTTCTGCCGACGCAGGGACCGCTGGGGCTTCCACGATGGACATCAACGATCTGGCAAACGCGACGTACACCGTCCTGCCACCCCGTTTCGAAGGCGGAGTCCACAACAGTCCGCATCCTCAGTACGCACACCTGATGCTGTATTGATTCATACTTGACTGATGCACGAATCGGCGCCCAGGCTCGTCATCTTTCTGTCGGGAGTCGCGCATGTGACGCTCCCTTTCGGCACAGACGACGCTCTCGTGCTCGGAGGGGGCAGTGGCATGATCATCGCCGCGGACACCACTGGTTCTGGCCACAACACGAGCTACCCCTCCAACCAGCAGACGCGCGCCCTGCAAATTCCTTTCACAGACGGTGTCATTCCGCCTCACGTTGTCGTCAATGAAGGTGCCTGCACCGGCGACCAGATCGTCACGACAACAACGGACTAGTACTGAAGGGAGCATGGAGGTTGCGAGTCAGTGGAGCGGGAAAGGAGAGGCGGACGTGCGAGGGCGGCAACTTGTATACCCATCCTACAGTCACCTTATTGTTTCTTGGGTTTGATGGAATGCAGTCTGGTACGGACGCACCTGAGTACGTAGCCACCGTGCTCGCTTCATCTATCATAGTGCGCCCCGCGGGTCTTGAATGTGGACGCCTTTTCCTATCACCTCTGGACTCGAGAGCATATGTAGCCAAGCGGCCAAGCCTAGACCAAGAGAACTCGACGAGCGGCAGCACAGTGAAAATTCCCGCAGATCCTGCTAGATCAGCACCGCATGAAGCTCCGCACTTTACAGATAGGCTGCGATATACGGCTGGGTCAGTGTCAGGCCGCGTAACAATGGGCTGACCCAGCCTGTAGTAAGGTTCAATGTCAGATCTCTTCACACCTGCCACATTAAGAGAAAAATTGAAGCGGTGTGCGGGCTATGCTCGCGCAATTTCGATGAACGGAGCGATCGAGTCCAGAAGAGCAGACGGGCAACTGGGCCAAGATAGCTTGGCAACAGATGGCGGAAACAGGGGTCGGAGACGTAAAGAAGCGCATCACTAGGCGCATCAGAAGAGAACGCGCTCCGCCGGCGTCTAGGCATGTTCGCTCTTTGCCCTCGGCGTACCCAAGTTCATGTAAAGAGCACTCCCAGTACGCTACTCTTTCAGAAAAACATAGCATGGAATAATCATACTGCTTAGAATATGTTAATCAGCTGAGAAATTTAGTATCGACAGCGACGACAGTGTCACACGATGGCGCAGACAGCAGCGCGGCTGCCTACACCACTGCCTACCACCCATCCCAGGCCTCGCTTGCTTTGCGTGCAAGAGTAGCGCAGGCAATACAACCAACACGTCGGATTACACCAAACGTGCCGTTTTGGGAGTTAGGTGCACATCGGTTGCCCGTGCTATGGTCGTTGTACCGAGGTCTACTTCACGCTGCGCCTACGAGAGATGTACGCCCTATTCTGTCATCGAGCCGGTTCCTTTGTGACGTACACATGCTCCCTTAAGATTAAATGGAAAATAGGACAGCACTTCCGGAAGAATAAGCTGTTGACGAGCCCGACGCAGACGAAGGTGCAACTGAAGAAAGCGCATAGAGTGCGTCTGCTGGGAGATGGACTTAGCACTCAGCTTATGATTTTTCCCTAACCATAGTGGCTAGACATTTTTAGGAAGGCACAGGCGGGAGATGAGCACTGGCAGGAGGTACTTCAGAGGTATAGCAGGATGGTTGTTGCGAAGAGGGAGAAGGACCACTGGGCAAAGATTCTCCGGAATGCTGTGGTACGCCCTCACGCCTCCACCTAGTTCTTCTCTGTCTCATTGTGGCCTAGGCGTGGAGAAAGAAGCTGCAGAACCGTACTATCCTGACGGGAGGCTACATGAAACCCACCATTCTCCACGGTCCCTTGCCCCGCATGAAGCCCCAGCCTCTCCACGTCACTGGCATGATTGTTTACAGGAAGAAGGCCCGCGAGCGGCGGCTCATGCGATACCTGGCATACAACGAACAGATGCGCGACATCAAACGAGAGGCACAGATAGAGACGATGCTAGCACGGTCCCACAAGCAGATGCTACCGTTCTTCTTTGCAGGTGCACAGGACGAATGGAGTGCGTCCTCTATCATCTGTATTCCTGATATCTCCCTGATCAACATGTTTCGTCCAGTGAAACCAATTCGAGAGCACCAGGCACTGATGGAGCTGAGCTACGCCCGCGAGTACCAGCGCGCGAACGCGTCCTTCCCTCCGAAAATGCTGAAGCAGGTCAAGAATGCGCGGCGCATGAAGGTCGAAAACAAGACGCGTGAGCGGCAGCGGGAGCTCGCGGGGCAGGTCATCAACCGCACAATCCGGCGTGCACGCAGGGGCCCACCTGCGCACGTCCTCACTTTTATGACGCCGCGACGCCGCTATTACGACCGGGTCGCGCGCAGCAGCGTGACCGAGGTCGGATACGTCGGCTGGGTGAAGAAGAAACTAGGATTCAAGCTCAAGAATCCAGATCCGTTCGCGGTGGAGAATGGCAAGGAGGCGGACCAGCCGAAGTTGGATGCGGAGGAGGAAGAGATTCGGAAGGAGAACTTACGTAGGAGGGTCGAGGCGTGGAAGAGGAGGAATGTCGTATCGGTGCCCGAGAAAGGTGCCAAGGAGAAAGGCGAGGAACAAAATGTGAGCAAGTACCCTAACTGCTAAGTACACATTCCCGTATAGTTCAATAGTACATGTTATGGACTCAAACTTCAGTTTGTCGTGCTTCAAAACGTCACCACCCGCTGCGCTTCCAGCGCCGGCCTCTCCTGCACACTGTACGCACCCTTGCCCAAGTCCGCGTAAAGCGGGTCTGTTCCTAGCGGGATGGCATCGCCAACTATGGGCAGGTCTCTCAGATACGACTCATCTTGAGGGTTGCCTGGTTGCGAACGGTCAGGCTGCTCGCCCCCAAAAGACTTGGGCATGCCCGTGACAAGCCATATCGGGGTCTCAGCATAAATGCCAGGGGCAGACGGTGATATGTGCGAGTACTCGGGGTGGGTGAACGTCACCTGCAAGACGTACTGCGCGCAAAATGAAGAACTGATTACTACGCATGTAGAGTCAAACGTACCTCCCGGCTAGAGACAAAATATTAGCTTTAATAGATAGACGCAATTCGAGAAAGCGCAGACCCACCCCATCCACATATATCGAAAACTAGGACCTAGATTCACCGGTATGCGAATGTCGCCATCCAATCGAATGGTAGCCTCTTGTGGAGCCATGTCAGGAAAATCTGGCAGGTCCTCCACGCTCGACACAGGCGATGGGCTCCTCTTCGCGTCGGCCTCGGTCACTTCAGTCTCGGCCACTCCAGCAGGGTGCTCTTCTGGTATTCCAACCAACTGATCCCGCATCTCGTCTTCGTCATCTCCAGCAGTGATGACATCCTGGAACCGCGACCTCTTCGGCGACGTGATTGTCGGCGACTTGGGTACCTGCCTTGACCCTTCATCCCCCTTCTCCGCTGTAGCGCCGCGGTTCGCCCATCCGCTGGTCTGAGGCGGACCCCGCAGCAGTGGAAAGACATCGTCACCGGGTGGGCCGTCGTCCGTCTTCCACACACGCCCCTGGGAGACGCGCTGCAGATTCCGGTTCCGCCGCGCGGCGTTCTTCGGCTGGAGGACGTCCCTGCCGTACATCGTGCTACGCAGGAGCACGACATCGATGCAATTGCACGCCGGGTCCGAAATCGCCTCGAGGGCGGGGATGTTCTTTGACCATAGCAGGACGCTCCAGCGCAACGTTTGGCCCGGTGCGTACACTTCCGGGGCTTGCACACCGAGCTACGGGCGGGTATAAGCGGGCGGCGATGGCCAAGAGTGGAGGCGAATGCTTACGAGGCCTTCGATCTCGACCGTTTCGTCTCGGAAACGGCCTCGGCCGCCAAATGGGGTGATTGTCCATCCCCCAATTTCCTCGCGATTATATGGCCAGTCCTCGCGGTCTGAGATGAATGGAAACGCGGTCGGCTCACGAAGGGTTGGCTGTCGTAATTGGTAGTAGAAGAAGGGGATTTTCCACCTGGAGAGATGTGTCGGCGACATCCAAGATTTGACGAAAACCCGACTTACGCATCGTCGAAGGACATCATCCCCGACCGCTTGACGTCAATGCCCATGTAATACTTGACTTCTCCAGAAAATGCTCCCACTTCGCTAAATCTGAACGATGCTGCGCCCGTGTGTCAGCAACGAACGGCAACCACTGTGACAGGAGGTTGGTACTGACGAGGAAGAGGGATTCTGGTGACGTTCTGCAATTCGCACGTCAGCTGGTGGAAATGGGCTCATGAGAGAACTAAATGTACTGTCGAGTCTTGCTTCTGCTGCACGACGTCTTTCGGAAAGACGGGGAATTCGAACGGCTTGCTCTCATAAGCAGCATAACTAGAGCGGACTGTGTGTCACTCACAAAGATCAAGGTCCGGTTGGTGGGCAACTTGCCGCTCAAAGGTCCTGTGGCCTCCTTGTGGTTCCACAGATTTACATGGTAACGCACTACAGGACGATCATTCACGCTAAATACGCTTTGTGTGCTCCCAATGACCTGGTGAGGGGTCAGCTTAGCTAACAATGACAACTGGCACGATGCTTACCCAGATATCCAAGGAGGATATGGGGTCAGGCTTGGGCAGGGTTAGCCGTAACTCGCCTCGTATCACAGCTGGTTGAAGTAATTAGTTTGGAAATAGCTGAAGAGAGCGATGAGGCTTACTGCCATCGTAATACTTGGCATGAGTCGCTGAGCTATCAGCATAGCTATATAGTACAAGACAACAATAGGGCTCGTCGCCATCCTTGGCATCCACCGGCTTCAGAGGGAACGCGTGGGTGCATGAGTATGGACGGCTCGTTGGGTCTACCTTCTCGGTGCCCAGCATTTCTTCCGGTCCTGGCGGGTCCTTGTTGTACCATTTCGGCAGGCCAAGCCTCGAGACGTCCGGCCTGCGACGCTTTGGCACGCGCTTCCCGTTAAGCAAGCCGGAGGCGAAGCTGGATACGCTCTCCGCAATAGAGCGCACTGAGTGGACGGAGATGCCTCCGGCGGATTTAAGGGAGATGGCATCCGCAGACTTCTTGAGCGTCGAGGCAATGAGACTTTCCTTAGAGTTCTGAGAAAGGCCCGATGGTGCGTCGTTAGTACTCGCACTGTTCTTTCTGAGAACGTTTCTGAGGAGCGACATGTCTGCCTGGCCGCAGTCCAGAAAGCAAGGAGGAAAACGTAAAGGAAACGGCCTCTCATCCTCAAACCTCCAGGCACCATGTATTTCAAGGTTCTATCGATGCCTAGTTCGCCCTGATTCCTCCAAGCCAGGAGGCAAAGAGCCTCATGCGGTTTCCTTGCGAGCACATGGGAACGGAGGCGTCAGATAGCCTTCGGATGTTTCATTTGTCATCTGTCGTTCCTTCGTCGCCTTCAGCAAGTTCTGAATATGTAGCCAAGACCGCAGGTAACGCAGACATGTGAGAGAAGTGAGAGTATAATGCATATGGCTCGAGAGGGAATAGAATAGCAGAAGTCGACGCAGCAACGCGCAACGACTCGCTATCGAGCGCTGGTCATGTCCGAGTCGGGATGCGCTTCGCGCTCACTCTGATGATGTACAGCAAGTGCATATTTGAGCCAACTTGACCTCGTCCTCAGACCCCCGTCGCAGCGTGGTGGTCAAGTTCTTTGGTGTTACAGGGTGATTTTCTACTAGGACAAATATTGATGTGCTTCACAGTTCGTGCGACAAACACTAGCCTTTAGGCGTCGCCGGACGAGTTGGGATGTACGCTGCTTTCCTGAACGATACCGCTCATCTCTGCCAGCGGCTTGGTCCGCCCACCGAACTCGTCGCCCAGGACCTGCTCTCGCGACACCTGCTCGGGATCCTCCTCGTATGCACCCCATTTCTTTCCTAGAGTCTTCCCGTTCGTGCTGGGCTCAAATGGCTCGTTCTATAGGATAGAACTTAGTATTAGACACGGCTATAAACTCGGCAACAACGAACCTGTGGAGGATCCCGCACGTACTGGTCGTTGAGGTTTTCAACGACAGCTGGTCTGCCGACCGTCTGGTACGGCTTCTTGAAGGTCTGGGACGAGTCAGTGACGGTGACGCCACTGTCACCGCGGAGCTCGTTGCGTTGAATGTTTCCAGCCATGTCGTGTGTGCGTGTGATGTTCAGTGAGGAAAACAGAGGTGCGTCGAGCTCGTTTATAGATGACTTTTGCTGAACACTTTGCGTCATAGGATGGCGCCGAGTGGAGATATTCCACTTTCAGGCGGCCACTTCTCTTGGAGCATGGGGCGTTCGACGCTTCTCATTCGCGGGTCCGCTTAGCGAGAAATCCTGGCGGCCGATGTCCATGGCTTGTTCGAGCCGCGTAACACAATCTCGACGACGCCAACCTGACCGAGATTGTGGTAGAGTCTCCTCGATTGTTCCTACGCCGGCCCGAAGTCTGAGCTGTTCAGACGTTGAGACCAGAGGAGACTCGTCGGACAGACAAGGAACGTTAACTACGATGTCAGAGAGCTAGCTTGACGTGCATTCCTACACTTGAAATGCCATTGGTAGGCGCAGTCTGGCTGTCAACGGTACATGAAATTCTGAGTCATTGTGTGGGAGCGCCGCGCCGAGTCAGGCTAACGTAGCGCATTTCTAGCCGATGCGCTGATGCGAAGCTTACTCTAGACCAGTACAAAAGCAGAGGTGGTTTTCCTAGCTGCTGCGACACGCCTTTGAATCGCTAACCTTGTCGGCTTCCCAGACCGCAGATGTGTGGCCCATATGATGCTCTCTACGTTCATTGTGGTGTCTCACTCTCCGTTGGTCCGCACTGGTTCATGGACAACTACGGCCCGGGCTAGAGTCGGACGCGAAGGACATCGCAGACGACATCCTCGAGTCCAGTGATAATCGTTCAGCAGAGGACGTGGTGCAGATTGTCCTCGAGGCCTTGCAGGCATCACATGAGCAGGGCTTGCTGGGCCACGGAGAGTACTCGGATACGTACATCGCCGCAGGCTACTGGGACAAGAACGGCAACGACGAGTGGACATGGAGCACCTCTCTGAAAGTTCATGATCAGAGAGTCCCCTGTGGGCGTGAAGTCCAGGTCCGGCGCGTGCGCGCTCCAGATGATATCCGCGCCACGTTCAATGTCATTCTCACGCAGGATGGAAACGGCGAAGAGGTCGAAGAACAGCAAAAAACGGATTTTGGGCTTCCATGGACGCCTTGCGTCTTCATCTGCGAAAGATGCTTCTACCACCTGGAGAAATGGATCGAGACAGATCGACTCCCGCTCCGCAGTTGTAGATTCCCCAAGGATCCGGAGCCTCTGTCCTTCGCCGGTGAGCTATACGAGCTCGTCAACGTTTACAATCTGAGAGGGAGGAGTAAGTAGCGGCAGTCTCCATGCCTTGCATTCGAGCTTGTAACTCTCCAGGCGGCGACTGCCTCATAGATGGGATTGATCACGGGATCATTGAACAAGAGTTACAAGAATGCCGGGACTTCTTTTGTCCAAGCTACTGGACGAGACCAGCGCACCTTACGCGAGCCATTGAGCAAGGCCTTAGGGGAGCTGACCTTGTTCCCGTGGCAATGATGCGCGATGCGGGGGCGTGGATGTTTATGCGCCCCAACCGGTGAGTCTGCTTTCGAAAGGGCAAGAAGCTATTGTCTGATCTGTAACATAGATGGCCTAAACCACCGTCCGAGGACATCACTCCGCGCTTTACAGAGTTCTCACCGCGCCCGCAGTCTTCAATGCCCGCCATTGGAGCATTGCCGCCGGAGTTGCTCTTACTTCTGTTCGCCGAACCACTCGTCATGTCTATTCTTGACTGTCGGCTACCTGCAAGTCTTTGCGCCGACTGATCACGAACTCGCTCTTCCTCGACCGAGTACTTAAGGAGTGCGTGATGCACGGGAGCCTGTGGTGGCTGTTACCTGTGGAGAATGCACCTGGAGACGAGGCCTCAAGTGCATACGAGAACATGCGAAGCTGGCTGCCAGATAGTAGCCGCGAGAAACCAAGTCCCGCCGCCAAGCCTGAGTGCGCTGATTCAATCCCAGATACATCCACCCCCTTCTTCCTCCCAGACTTCCCTCGTCTGGCGTTCATCCGAGCGTGCTTGGACGCAGATTCGATGAGGACCCGGAGGCGTATATGGGGGCTCTCTCGCCAGTTTGAGGCACTTTGGAGAGACTACCGCCTGAATGGGTGGGAGAACGAGTACATGTTTTACGACTCACGCGAGCTCAAGCAGCACCGGGATAAGAAGCGGTCAGAACACTGAAGAAGTAGGCACGAGAGAGCGGAATCGAGCGAAGACCAAATGTGAACGATGGAGTGGCATCGTATTTATGTGTACATCCGGGAGATATGTGCCTCTTCTACACAGCAGAATTTGTATTCTTCAACGACGATCAAGCTTTCCACTGAAGTGAGTCCAAAAGCTGTCCACCAGCGACCCACGCAGCACCACCGGGCTTCCACAGCTCGAATGAAGCCTCTCTGAGCTTGCGAATGTTTGCCCGCTTCCTGTCACCGTCCTCGCCGAAAGCCTTCTCGAGCACCGAACCTGCTTCCGTGCGGACGGCCTCGAGCGTGCCGGTCGGGGCCTTGCCAGTGCGGTAGATTGGTTTAAGACCGTCTCCGGTCCGCACCTCGAGCAACTCGTATGCGACGTTCAGGTTCTCTGTCAGGTGCAACGTGTTCAGAGGCTGATCCGCAGAGAAGGGCCAGCAGATCCTAGGGGACATTAGTCGGTCGGGATGAGAAAAACAATGAGACAGAAAGCGCGTACATCGGAACGCCTGCGTAGATGGACTCGACGATGCTGTTGAACCCCCCATGTGTGAGGAACCACCCAGTAACCTGGAAGGCTGTGAGCAGTCTTGCATGTTAAAGCATACGAGAAATATACCGGATGCTCGAGAATGGCCTGCTGGGGAGCCCACGGGACTATGAGACCCGTCCCAGAGGCCTTCACTTTCGCCTGAATTTCATCCGGGACTTGGGAGAACGGGGATGCATGAGACATAATCTGTAGTGGCCAATCAGTGTTGGGTACGTCATTCCCGGCAGCCCTGTCACCACATACGAAGGGTATCTTCTTTTCCACTAGGACGTCGAGGAACGTCCACACCTTCTCCGGCTGCGTGGTCCAGATCAAGGTTCCGAAGGAGATCTGGTGGGAAAACACTTATTCGACTTTGTGCTTAAAGGAGGAGCGACCGCCCAAGCTTACGAAGATCAGAGACCGCTCTCCGCGAGCCTGCAGAGTGTTCTGTAAGAAATCCGTGATCTCGGGTGATTTTGCAGCCTGCTTGGCATCGGCCGCCTCTGACCTCTTGGTCATCGGAAGCAAAGGGCCAAGAAGGTAAGTCTTCCTTGACGTAATGCCAAAGAATTGATAGAAGGCTTGCACGACCTCTTGGGGTTCGACACATGCCAATGAGGATGAAATATATCCGTCGCACTCGCGGAGCATTCTAGTTGCATAGGTCAGCGGAGTAACTAGGACATGTACGAATAAAATTGACCCACTTGTCGGCGAGGAGGTGGATGCGGCCGATTGGAACCTTCGTGATAGGCTGTATAAGCTGTCATAAACATGAGTTGAGTGTTATCTACCACGACTTTGAGGTGAATGTAAATTTACCTCCTGAGGACTGTTCTCGTAGTGGTACATCGGAGGAAGACCAGGTGCTTGGATGATCTTACTGCTGGGTATGTTATATACCTGGACATATAGTCAATATGTATGGTAATGTGTCCGATAGCAGAGACCGCTTACTCCTTCAGCAGCGTCCTCGAGAGAAGCGCCAGTCTTCTGCATGTATTCTTCTATTTTTCGCTCCAGCGGACTTTTCGTGCCCGACTCAGCTTCCGACAGGCCGCTTAGCATATACGTGCTCAACACAGATGCGGGCCCTGCGCATAGGATTTTGACAGAGCTGTTCTGCTTGCGCGCAATCTGCATAAGAGTATACCCCATGATCTGCGATGAGTCAGTGACAGGCGCACTTATCATCTCCAACGTGCTCACATCTAAGATCAAAGCCTGAGGTGGTGCCAACGCAGGGATCCCCTTCTGCGCATGATAGCAGAACATGGTTTCCCCACGCGATAGCTTCTGATACTCTGTGTCGAATGATTGGCCGATAATTTCGTAGTCATATGGATTGTGCTCATGAGCATGAAGAGCACCGATTCTGAGGAAAGTAGTGAGCGGAGAGCACACGGGCGCGAGAAAAGCGAGACGTGAATACCTAATGCGGGCCTGCAACGTGTCGTCCGCATCGTCGAAATTCTTTGAAATTTCATCCGCTACCTTGTCGTAATTGTTGTGAGCGATGAGGAAGGTGATGTCGAGGTTGCGCAGTTTGACGAGCCTGGCGGCCAGTGCACACAGCGGGCGGACATGTCCTAATGAATGCCTCAATACTTGGCAAACTAATTGCATACTAGCACATGAGACGTACCCCAGCTTCCGTAGGCGACAACGACGACATGCAATGAGCTGATAGAGGACATGGTGGATCGGACGATGTTCGCTCGATACTGCTCTCAAAACTCGCGGGGCATTCTACCTTAAGTACTGCAGTATGTGCCGCACAATCGGACTGCACAGTCATACCAGCTCCATCCTGCAGTGCATGTTCAGTTGTCCACAGGCGACTGCCGTGAAGACACGTCGTGTTGCGGATCATCTTATCTGATAAGATAATTCAGTCGGGTCTTTCAACGGCCTCGTCAGCTTCCGGCGGGATGCCACAGCGTTCTCGGACTTTGAACTTGCCTGGCTCGACGTTGATGCCGTACACACGTCGCGGCGCCGCATTTCCAACGCTGTTCGTGATGCTGTACATATGAATTTGAGGGTTAGCGCCAAGAGTCAATGCAGAAGGCGCGAGCTGAACGGATGCCGACGACACGCGTCACGCCGCATTGCGAGACATCGGTGTGGACTGGATGTGGATTACTGTCCCCCGTCCGCTAAGATTACCTCTAGCTCCTGTACGAGTTCTAAACAAGAATGGCGCAAAAGATGAGACTGGGTAGAAACAAAGAATACAGCATACCAGAGCAGTCTTCAGCCGTGTGCTTCTGTCGCTCAGCAGCCTCGCGAGAGCTCCTCGTGTTATTGAGGCGATAGCCGCGATGTCGCAATCTAATGCTTTAGCAACATCGCTTAAGGGTATAGCCACTGAGCCGAATTAGTCCCCGGCGGCTCAGTGGTCCTTTGCCTGGAATTGCTCATATCCCTCTGAATGACTACCACACGTAGGCAGCGAAAGAGCCGTACAGTACTGAAAAGAAACGAAAAAAAAAGCTGCATAAAAAGTGGCCAGCCAATGATTGATTACGTACTGTCGGGGTTAGCAAAGCAGATCTCGAAATGTAGACCGAAGTTAGGGCTGATACTGCCGGAATCTGGAGCGGCCAAGGTACATATTTAATTTTTTTCGTAGCCCAGCGATAAGTCCTACCCCGATGGTGATATGGACGACGTTGACAGACGTTTGGAGCGTGCAAGAACTAGTGCGCCGATCGCCGCGACGGTGTCGTCGCCGTGAAACCGGGTATCTCTAAGGTGAAGAAATGGCGTTCACAGCTTGAAAGCGCTGTCAATAACACAGATGGCACACCAGATCGTAATAATGATAACCAAAAGAGTTACCGGATGAGTAAAGCAAGGGAGGTGTATACTGTGAACTCTCTATGACAAGGTGGCCTGTGAGAGCGTTTGGCGTTCGGGAGGCACTGGAGAATTATACATGAGCTTGGGCGATATAACCCTGGAGAGATAGCGCTACAGCAAAGATAACACGAGAGCACACGCAACAAATAGACGGGCTTACGACTAGTCGCCCATTGCATCTTCGTCAATCTCGCCTTCATCTTCACCACTCGCATCCTCTGACAGCTGCTGGCCCTCGATCTGGACGACCTCGCCGTTCGCCGCGGACCACCGCGCACGGAGCGCTACCCTGAACTCCACCATCTTGATCCCGATGAGCTTGAGCAGCTGTGCCTGCTCAGGTGTAAGCACCTTGCCCTTCTCGCAGATGGTGTGCGGGGTATCTAGCGTCGGCACGCCGCGGACCATCTTCGTGTGGAGACCGAGCTTGCGGAGCTGGGGCTCTTCGTTGTGGGGGAATGGCTCGGGTGGGTCGGAGTGCTGCTGCATGACTGGACCTGCAGGGAGTACAAACATCTGTGTCGCTCTGTTCCCCGACCGCGCGAAGTCCGGTGGGTGGAAGTCATCGAACCAGGCAATGACCTCTTCTGGTGGCGAGTCGGTGAACATCAAGCCGACTTGACCTTTTATTTGCTGCGTACCCTTCAGGGAATTGTTCAGAGAATAGGTGCTATGTGCCGCACCTGTGCAATTTTTTGGAGACCGAGCTTGTACTCCTCCTCTGGCGTCGTACCAAGTGCCTTTGCCATAACGGCTCCTCTGCCAAAGAATATCCGCGCTGAGCTACGTTCCAAATATCTAGATCAGTTGAACCGATGTCAGAGTGGTTCGCGACGTACTCCTTCCAAAGCTTGCGTACAATCTTCAGGTGCGTGTTCCTCATGTTCCCAACTTCGAACAGCCAGCAATACTGCCATTTGTCTGCGTTCTCTTGCACCTGAGTTTCGCAGGCACTTAGTCTGAGAGAGACATTGAAAGTGTAGAGACACACCTCTGTTATGAGTGCGCCCTTTTGTTCCCTAGTTTTCTTCGCGACCTTGGTCAAGGAAACTAGGATAGGCTTGTCATTCCTTCAAGCTGCGGCTAGAGCAGCAACAACCTACCGAGCTTAGCTCGCTTTGACTTGGGCATGACACACCGTTATACGCGAAGCGAAATGCCCTAAGATTAAAAGCGGTAGGGATACGGTATAATGAAGGCAGAGCGCAAGACCTAGGTCTTGAGAGAAGGCAATTCGGAGATAATCCAAAATTTCTGATCCAAAGTAGCACGATCTTATCTTATCTTGCCGACTCACCACGGCGCTTTCGACCTGTGAGCGTCGCAGAATTTCCTGCATTGAAGCAAGTAATATGAATCACGATTATGATATCCAGGTATACATCATGCAGGGTAATTCTGACGACACGGGAATTTTCGGGAGACTGTGGATTTCCGGTTTCGCAATTACCGCCACACCCTTCGTCCGAACCTGCCGCCGCTATTCTTCTGCGCGAGCTGTCGCCTCATCTTGGGGTAGCTTCTCGTATTCGTCTACAACGAAACAGGGTGAAACGTGGAACAAGTGGCCTCTGCGTTTCCGCACAAAGAAGGCAAAGAGAAAAGCGGAGACTGCGACCGCGGCGCTACTGATGATTACTGGAAACTTGAATTGCTCTGGGCGGGCAAAGACGACTGTCGTGCCAAACGACAGCAGCTCAAACAGATTTTGCAAGGCCATCTCGGTAGAGGAGAACTGGCCACGGGTGTGCGCAGGTGTCTCCTAACCGACGATTAGCAAAAGACGAAGACAGCGGAATCAAGGAGGAGGCCCACTTCTTGGATGAGATACTGTACGCAGAGATCGAATCCCCATAACCCAAGGCGACTGAATGTAACACCGCCTATGAGACTGAATCCGGCATCTCTGGTATCTGCAGAAGCCGCGAGGTATAGTGCCACCGACATGCCGATGCAAACCAGCTGTTCATTGATGAACCATAGTGCCGCCCGGACAGGTCCAATCTTGCGCATGAGAATTGGCGCAGCCCATGTCGCAAGAAGTTCTACGATGACAGCGGCGAAGCGCATCAGGCTGACTTCGATGGAATTAAAGCCGAGCGTGAACAGATAAGCCTGCATCTGGACGCCCGTGGAAAGCACAGTGAGATAGAGAATGCTCAGCGAGAGGGACCCGAGCATAGCCGTGTTTCGGTAATACTCGACCCAAGGCTGCACGAGATCTCGAAGCGCGCTAGTCGTTATCCTTGGCCTTATCACACGGGAGGGCAAAATGCCTTCAGCCTCTGCGTGCATCTCCGCAGGTTGAATGGCAGTCAGAGCGATTGCTTCAGCGGGGCCGACCACCGACAATCCATTAGATAAACCAAGCACAGCTTGATAGACCTGATAAATAGCCGTGAATGTCGTTGCCGTTACGGATCAATGAATAGCTTACTTGCGCGATAGTGAGGTGTTCGATAGCCGCGGACAGAATATTCTGTCCAAAGACCACCCAAAGAGCAACTGAGGTCGAGTATTCATCGACAATTGAGACAAACACTGGCGCCAGGAGCTTAGCCACAAGGTCGATTCGGCGTATGACCGCATTCAGATCTGGTAAATAGATAAATAAAAAAGGATGAATATCTGCGCATCATTATATGACTTCTTCGGGTTCGATGCCATAAACATACCCTCGCGTTCTGCACCTAATTCATTAGAGATCACGATAACCTAGAGTAGAATGGGAGAAGGTCATGAGAAAAAACACGCTCGATGCATGCAGTACTCACCCAGTCTCGTTCGATAGATACGGTATTTGTGATTGATGCCAGCTTCTCCACGCACGCTAACAGCACGGCTAGGCCAAAAAGGCCCCATTCCAGCCCGGGGACCTTGCTGTCCCGTAGCATAAATAGCGCCACAAATGCTAGGCAGGAGAATGCGACTGGGATACGCTGCCAGATGACGCTAGCCTGCACACAACGTAGCCGGTTCAATCCATCGACCCAGCGTCCGGTCCATGACGAGAGCAGAACGGCAGCGCCTGCTCTGAGCAGGGCGTAGAACGACGCGTAGAGGAGCGTCCCAGGGAAGATTTTCGCGAGGAACAGAACGGCAGCAAACTCGAAGGTTCGTGAGTTCCAGGTGCTCAGAGCGTGAGAGACGTAAAAACGACTCAAAACGCGAGCTCCGGACGCCATCTATGCCGCATGAGACCTGGGGGTCCGAGATGTGACGATGAATGGTCTGTACGAGTCGCGTCTAGAGGTCAATCTTTCTGGCCCGGGGTACGAATACCATCACATGTGCCGTGTGAGAAAGTGCGTCGATCTGCCCGATCTTATCTTATCTGTCTCCGTGACCGCAGTCTTCGAATTTCCTGGATTTCCGTTGCATAATCTCAAGTATGGCAATTTTCCCCACTTCACCTCCCTCTACATCGCCCTTCGCACAAAATGGCTGTCGAGGCTCCTCAGGTCACTAAGGAAACATTGGCCACCCTTGAAGCATCCCTGCTCAATACCTCCGGCAAAGTACCGCTGCACAACCGATTCCGATCATTATTCACTCTAAAAGCATTGAAGAATGATGAAGCAGTGGACATCATCACAAAGGGTGTGTTTGTGGCGGCAGTCTTGGCATTTTTTGAGCCTGAATAGCCACTCAGGTTTCGCAGATGATAGTGCTTTGTTGAAGCATGAGTTGGCTTACTGCTTGGGTCAGATGAAGAGGACCTCCGCCCTTCCCGTACTTGAGGCAGTACTCGCGAACGAGCAGGAGGATCCAATGGTCAGGCACGAGGTACGCCGCATTCCCACCTTGTGAGCTGCCGAAGCTCAGCCCTTTTGTAGGCCGCAGAGGCGATGGGTGCAATCTCTTCCACCGAGTCCATCCCAATCCTGAAGAAGTATGCTAGTGACTCCAACCGCTCAGTCCGGGAGACTGTCGAGATTGCCCTCGACAGGATTGAGTGGGATCGTTCAGAAGAGGGCCAGAAGGCCCGCAAGCAACTCGAAGAAGCGGAAGACCGGTATGTCTACCTTCCATGATACTCACTTCTCGTGCTTATCACATTTCCAAGGGCGTATACTTCGATTGACCCTGCGCCACCGACGTCCGGTCTCCTCTCCGCCAAACCCTCACTTGCTGACGTTTCTGTGGAGGCGATAAGCGACCTCCGCAATAAGCTACTTGACAAGAGCCTTCCTCTCTTCCAGCGCTATCGCGCCATGTTCGCTCTGCGCAACATTGGCGCACCCGCGGCCGTGGACGCGTTGGCTGCTGGCTTTTCGGACGACAGTGCCCTGTTCAAGTGCGCGTTTCTTCTCTCTTCTAGCGTGACAGCAATCCATATCTCTGCAGACACGAAATAGCGTTCGTCTTCGGCCAGCTGCTGTCAGCCCACTCTGTCCCGGCCCTTTTGAAAGTGCTGGAGAACACCCAAGAGTCGGACATGGTTCGTCACGAGGCCGCGGAAGCCCTCGGTGGCATTGCCACACCAGAGGTTCTCCCGTACCTCAAGGAGTGGATGCACCGCGAGGACGCTCCACGCGTCGTCCGCGAGAGCTGCCAGGTGGCTCTGGACATGTATGAGGTGGGCAAAAAGCCCTCCCGGACAATAATTGTCTCACACGTCTTCTCAGTATGAGAACTCGGGCGAGTTCCAGTATGCGAACGGCCTCGAGACCACAGCGGCTGCTCCAGAGGTCGGCGCATAGTAATCCCTAAAACAAGGGCACCTTCCCTCGGACTATGTATCTCCGGAAACATTCTGGTTCGTGCACCACATTGTAGCCTAGGCTTTCTGTATTTATTGCTCATTTCATATTAATTCTGTATCTTTCGAAGCTCTCGGGTCGCTTCGGTCGACGCCGACGGTTCGCGAGCTGCGGGGCAACTCAAGGTATCTGCCAGCATTGCTCTTTACGTTTATTCCGTCAGTGGCCCGATATAGGTCCGGTAGATTATCCCCAATGCTCTTCAGAAGCGATGAGCGAAAGTTGAAGCGTCACGGCCGGTGCTCGTCTCAACGATCAGTGGCCCTGTTGACGTGGAGCTGTGCAAGATGTCTAAGTATGACGACGTCCGATGTTTTTCGCGTCGGCCACGCTCGGACGCGGGCTGTAGTCGGCCGCTGCGGAATACACGGCGACATTTTTGGCTGGGAAAATTCTTCTTTGAGTTCAGAGTATACGAGACGACACGCGAGTCATGCCAAGTCCTGGACCTGAGCCAGTAGCCAATTAGCCTTCCATTCCTCTCTTCTTCGCGTATGCATGAGCAGTGGTTCGCCTTCGCTTCTCGCGAGACCAGCACAGCGAGCAGCGTTTTTTGCGGTGTCTTAGCCTAAATATGCTGCAAACCAGATACTCCGACCGCTCGGCTATTGATATTTGAGCAACTTATGTGGAGCATTGAGCATCACCCACCGGACAGGAGTAACAACTCCGCAGGACGACTCAGCAAAGCGACACTTCTGGCGGATAGACATATTGATCATAGCGCCGCATTATATTCAGCTGAATGAAAGAAGTACAGAGATATGTGATATGAAGATTGCAGGTAGGGTATCAATGCATGCTCAGAAAATGATACGAGAGGGTATCTGTCAACCAAATGTCTATAGCGAAGGAGAAGAAGCGATCATAGACCGTAGTCGAAATGTCGAAAGCGTCCGGTAGCACGAGGCCGCAGCTCCACTACGCGTAGAACCGGTCCACTTGCCAGCCATGCAAGCGGTAATCCTCCCAGAGCCCTTCAAACTG